TTACTTTGGCTATTCGAGGTTTTTTGTATTTCCATACAAATTGTGAAATTATTTGTTCTAGTTCTGTGAAAAATACCGTTGGTAGTTTGATAGGGATTGCATTGAATCTATAGATTGCTTTGGGTAGTATAGCCATTTTGACAATATTAATTCTTCCAATCCATGAACACGGTATACTACCTCTTCTTGATATCTTCTGCTTCTACTAAGTCCATATCATTTCTGTCCTTTATTGAGCCCATCTTTGCATGAATTGTTCCCTTGGTATCTCTAATTTTCTTGAAGAGATCTCTAGTCTTTCCTATTCTATTGTTTTCCTCACCTTTGCTTTTCGCTTCTCTTCTTTACACAGCTATTTGTAAGGCCTCCTCAGACAACCATTTCTTTTTCTTGGGGATGGCCTTGATTTTTGTCTCCTGTACAATGTCACGAACCTCCGCCCATAGCTCATCGGGCACTCTATCAGATCTAGTCCCTTAAATCTATTTCTCACTTCCTCTGTATAACGTAAGGGGTTTGATTTGATTCAGGTATGAATACCTGAATGATCCAGTGGTTTTCCCTACTTTCTTCAATTTAAGTCTGAATTTATCAATAAGGAGTTCATGATCTGAGCCACAGTCAGCTTCTGGTCTTGTTTTTATGGACGTATAGAGCTTCTCCACCTTTGGCTGCAAAGAATATAATCAATCCGATTTCAGTGTTGACCATCTGGTGATGTCCATGTGTAGAGTCTTCTCTTGTGTTGTTGGAAGAGGATGTTTGCTATGATCAGTGTGTTCTCGGCAAAACTCTATAAGCCTTTGCCCTGCTTCATTCCGTACTTCAAGGCCAAATTTCTGTTATTCCAGGTGTTTCCTGACTTCCTACTTTTGCATTCCAGTCCCCTATAGTGAAAAGAACATCTTTTTTGGGTGTTAGCTCTACAAGGTCTTGTAGGTCTTCATAGAACCGTTCAACTTCAGCTTCTTTAGCATTACTGGTTGCGGCATAGACTTGGATTACGATGATATTGAATGGTTTGCCTTGGAAATGAATAGAGATCATTCTGTCATTTTTGAGATTGCATCCAAGTACTGCATTCTGGACTCTTTTTTTGATGATGATGGCTACTCCATTCCTTCTAAGGGGTTCTTGCCCACAATAGTAGATATAATGGTCATCTGAGTTAAATTCAACCATTCCAGTCCATTTTAGTTGGCTGATTCCTAAAATGTCAACATTCACTCTTGTCATCTCCTGTTTGACCACTTCCAATTTGCCTTGATTCATGGACTTAGCATTCCAGGTTCCTATGCAATATTGCTCTTTACAGCATTGGACCTTGCTTCCATCACCAGTCACATCCACAACTGGGTGTTGTTTTTGCTCTGGCTCCATCTCTTCATTCTTCCTGGAGTTATTTCTCCACTGATCTCCAGTAGCATATTGGGCAATTCATTTTTCAGTGTCCTATCTTCTTGACTTTTCATACTGTTCATTGGGTTCTAAAGGCAAGAATACTTCGTGGCAAGTGGTTTGCCATTCCCTTCTCCAGTGGACCACATTTTGTCAGAACACTTGTGACATTCTGTGTCAGTCAGAGCACAGGTGATCTCAAATTTATTAGGAAATTCTACTTTTGTGATCTTTTCCAATGAAAAACCACAAGACAATTTCATGATTATCTAATGACTAGAATGGAAAGCAAGGTGAGCACCAATGCTGAAAAAACTGACATGCCAGTTTAATCAGTAACAAGAAAATGCATTGAGCTAATCAGTGAGGTGGCAAAACTTGGAAACATAATCAGATTCAATAAATCCACCAACTTCTGGTTTTGGCAAAGGCACTGTTAGTGTTCTTTCAAGCACTTAAGAACAGGGGCAGTGTTGCATTAAACTTTTCAGCCCAAACAAAGGATGACTTAATTGCTTCAGGAAAAGAACAAGTAAGCATAATATCAGAATTCAAGAAAAAGGTATAATCACTAATACTGGGTCCCCAAAATTACATAGTAGAATTAAATATAGTTCTCTGCCAGAGTTCACATATCAGCAGTAAGTGTCATTACTATTCTCTGGGCAGCTATAAAAGACCATTCCTGGTCAATGATGCCAACATGTCTTCTTATAATATGGGGGCTAAAACTGGAAATACAGTTTGAAGAGAAAGAAGAAAACACAATTTTGAGTCATCAACCTTTTCTTTATCAGTTCAAATTCATCTTTTCCCCTGCTCCTGATAATTACCTTCTCCAGTCCTACTCTTTCGGATATTCCTTCAGTCATCTTCTCTTTTTTCCTTCAATTCAAGGTTTCCTAGTATTTCTAACTATCTTTCAGAATTATCATGTATGAACCATAGTATCACCAGAAAGGAAGCAAAGAAAAGAAGTGCCTGTTTCATCAGTAATTTAGCATACATTGTAACTTAACCATGTCATTTGGAACAATGCTGCTTCCCTTGCAGAACAAACCTAAACAATGTTCTAAGTCATAATTTATCTTTTCTCTAAAACAACATAAATGAATAAGAACTGGCAAATCTCACCTGATGCTTCATATAATGATGCATATAGGGTGTTGCAATTTTAATAACTTTGAGACAAAATGGACATAGCAAGTTCTTGGTGTTTTCATGAGATGTTCTAAAATGAGTTTCTACATCAGAAAATGATGATGATCTATAATTGCAAACCTACAAAAAAAATACCTGGTTTAGTTTGAAAATTTATAATGATATCCAATTTCAAAGTAACAGTGATAGGTCACTTGTTCAGAAGAACACTATGTACTATTAATTCAGCTCTAATGCCTTACACAACCAAGAATCCTATTAATAAAAACATCAAAAGATAATCTTTGAAACAGAAGAGTTAGCTTTTAAAGCTTAAGGATACTTCCCAAAATATAACTAGATTCTCTTATTTTTATCAGATATTTTTATCACCCCCAATTTTGACTTGAATGATCAAACTCTTGACACCTCTGGTCCTAAAAGTTGCTTCTTATTGCTATATAAAACAGCATCTTTCCTTAGATTATAAATGGTCTCCAGGCTACGGAATGACAGTTTATTTTTACCTTACTTTCCCATTTCTCCAAATTCTGGAAAAGAACTAGTCCCAAAGCATTTGGTAGGGTCCTCTGAACTAAAAGCAATTCGTACTTCCCTTTGTGTGCCTATATTCTTCCCTGTACGTTAAGATAAGTCTATGTTTGTCTTTCTGCCACAGGGCTTTTTCTTTGTCTAATAAAGGAGTAGGCAAACAATGGCCTATGGGTCAATTCCAACTCTCTGCTGACCCCACACAACAATATATGAGTTATGCCAATAGACTTTCTACTAATAAGTTATTTACAAAATAGACTTTAATTTAGTAACTAATTTTATCAAAATGGTTAGAAAAATAAAAGAATATATTTCATAACACAAGGAAATTATATAAAATTCAAACTTCAGTATCCATAAATAAAGTTTTATTGAAACACATCCATTCATTTACACAGTCACATCCATTCATTTACTTATTGTCTATGACTGCCTCTGTGCTACAATGGCAGAGTTGATTCGTTCCAACAGAAACCTATGATCCTCAAAACCTGAATATTTACTATCTTACCCTTTATACAGAAAATTTGCTGATGCCTGGCCTGAAAGTAAAAGCGTTAGTCACTCAGTCATGTCCAACTCTTTGCAACCCCGTGGGCTAGAGCCTGCCAGGCTCCTCTGTCCATGGAATTCTCCAGGCAAGAATACTAGAGTGGTAGCCATCCCCTTCTCCAAGGGATTTTCCCAACCAAAGGATCGAACCCAGGTCTCTCTCATTACAGGCAGATTCTTTACCGTCTGAGCCATCAGGGAAGCCTGGCTTAATAGGTTTAAATCTTGTAACCAAAACAGATAACAAACCAACCAACCAAACACGACGTATACAATAAAATATGTATATACCTGGCAAATATATGGCATTTCACCAGGCTTATGATTGTCCTTCATATGTTGTAAAAGGATATGCTCTGTTTCAAATGACAATTCACATATTTTGCAAATGGCTAAAAGTGGGGGGAAAAAAGACATTATACCATTTTAAGATATATATACATACACGTAAGTATTCAATCTACATTGTACACCTGAAACTAATACATGTTAAATGTCAATTACACTTCATTTAAAAAAAATCCTCTCAAGGAAAAGAAACAAAATCAGATATATACATTTACAATTCATTTTATATATCTATATCAACAATAATAGTAGTAGTAATATTGGCAGTGGTAGTGATGGTGTACAGTTCCAGAGTTGTTTATTGTGGCCAAGCACAGTTCTAAAGACTTGACTAACTCACTCAATTCCCATCAACTTAATTCACTCAATTTCCATCAAAACATTATGAAGCAGGTATTTCTATCATCCCCATTATTCAAATATTAAGTGACCTGCTAGAGATCACATTAGGATCACATATTACAAGGCAGAGCTTGGATGTGAACCCAAGCCGTCTTGATCCAAAGTATGTGATTTTAACTAACACTGTATTTACTTTTCTTACCCAAGTTTAAAAGAAAGACACTGATTTCACTTTAAACACTATGATCTGAGCCTTCTAATTTAGTCCTCCACATGTAATGCACAAGTTATTTACCATAATGAATTATTTATTAAGATGGAATTTCAGTAACTAATTTTATTAAAAAGACTGTGTAAGTTAAAAATTAACTTTTTCAACTTTACTCTCAAATTCCAATGTTGTTTTTTTATTCTTATTTTTCTACCACACTTGTTCAGAGTTCAGTAACAAACTTTTTTCAGAGGTTATATTGTTAAAAATCAACAAATACACAATACTTAAATGAAACTGTAACTTACTAGAAAATTCATGGGGTGTGTGTGTACTTTCAATGTGACACTGCAGTTGAAATGGTGTGGGAAACTGTCGGTAGCAGTGCTGGCAGGTGGTGTGGTTTTCCCAGCTTTCACTGCTCTGCTTCTCAAGTTCCAAATGATGTTTCATGTGGTTCATAAACCTATCAATGATTGTCAACAGGTGCAAAAATTCAGATTTAAAAACAAAAATCTCACAAATAAGTACTTGAGTCTAAATCTTAAAATTATAGATATATTAATGAAAATAAAATCTCAAAAGCCTTAAAGTTCTCTAGAAGAGTGTGCACTTTAAATAATCACTTTCATTAAGTAGCTAAGTAAACACGTTTTCATCTTTGTTTTAAAATAGTTATCAGCATTAGTTTGAAATATCAGAAATTTGTTATCTTAATAGTTTCAGATTATTAAAAAATTTTAAATATAAAACAGCAGGTTTCTTCTCCATATAAGAAATACTACTTATATTTTAAAATACTGAAAGGAAGGAAACTCTACCACTAAAAGCAGCTAGAATCATGAGAGAAATCTTTTAAGGCTCTGAAGATATAGAATAGATTCCAGCTGCTTAAAAGACAAATTACTGGCATTTTTACTTGTGTCTTGGTTTTTAAATGCATGTAACAGCAATTTTAATGCCTACAATTACAAGAACCTGTTGTTTTATTTAATGGTGCTGGTTTACTGTTAGCAAACACTTCACTTTAACTTGCACACTGTGCCCTTTGTAGGCAGTCCATTTTTCAGTTTTACATTCTGCTATTTCAGCTACCCTAAAAGGCTTCTTATGAGCAGGAACTATGACCTTCAATGGCAGAGAGTACAATATAAATGGGAATACCTATTTAAAAGAGCTTACTGAAGCTTTTTGGCGAATTTGAAAGTAAAGTTATTCAATCAAAACAACAATTTTTAGACTGGGTCAACTATTAACAATTACTCACTTTGAGACACTAAAGGAAATAATGTTGAAAATAAGTGATAATATTATCCATCTGGAAAGCAATCATCATAAATGTTACAGCATTATTTTTTTTTTCACATCTCACATAACACTACTCTTTAGTACAGGTTGTCATACTTTGAAATATCTTTTTTAGTATTCCTTTGGTTTTAACACCAGCTCTACAAACACCTATTATAAATCCTAGTCTTGGCTAAATATTTACATATAGAGATAATGTCATAAGCCATTAACATCTTAGTTTACAATTTTCAAAATTAAAGTGTATCTATATAAAATAATCTCTTAATGAGCATGCTTTCTCTCAACTAACATGAGCCCCCATCAGGATCTCATACTACTTAAACCAAAAAATGGAAACAAGGAAAACAAAAAACACAAACATCTTGCAAATATATTCACAAAATAAAATAAATATATTTTGTGTGACACTCAATGTAGGGGAAGAAAAAAACCATACCACAATACGCTGACAGGGAAAAGAATAGAAATCTACAGTTATAAGTTTCTTACCATTCCTCTACAAACATCAATTTACTCTTCCAGTTTCTACTGTCAAGGTGAAATATTACTTAACATGTATAACTTCTTTGGTCATAAAATGTTTTCTATTAAGGTTATGCTTACTAAACAATCAGTATTTCAAAAACACTCAATTCCTGGATGTTCCCAGATGATGTTTGCTAAAAACTTCTAGTATTAGGACACTTCAGAAATATGTAACTAGTATTCTAAAATAATAACAAAAAAGAAAATTTGCCTTCATATGTTTAATATTAGTGTGTTAATCTCAAAGGAAAATTAAAAAAAAAACTACTGAAATATATTCTAATGTCATGTATATAACATTTAAGTATAACAAAGAACTAAGCTGGGAAGCCATATTTCTATGCATTTTATATTAACATGATTCTTCTGGTGTGTTTTACTATTAAAGTGGTAAAAATATAAAAGTAGGAGACTGAGTTCTATTGTAATATTGTTTCAGTGTGTGTGCATGCTCAGTGTCTGACTCTTTGCAACCCCATGGACTAAATATAGCCCACTGGGCTCCTCTGTCCGTGCAATTTTCCAGGCAAGAATACTGCAGCAGGTTGCCATTTCCTGCTCCAGGGGACTATATCAGTATTATATCACAAAGTACAATGCTCATTTTGTTAAATTTACTGGGACCATTAGCTATTAATGGCTGTTAAAATCTGATGAAAGGAGATAAAGAAATGTGACAACTCACATGAAATAATATATGTAAAAGAATTTCTAAAACTATAAAGCACTGTCATAAATAATTATTATTATAGGAGTTACCACAGTTTATTTCAGGGTTTTTCTATATGCTTCTTTTTGGACCTTAACAACTCACAGGAAAATAAAATAAGTGCTAGATCTAGAAGTAACCTATAGGTGCCTAAGAACGCTTATATAATAATAGTTATGAGGGATAAACAAAAAACGTATCCCTTTATATGTTTGTACACACACACGTCTCACCTGAAGAAAACACTGACATCTGAAACTTACTTCGAAACACATTAAAAAAACCCAAATAGTTTGAAGGAAAGATGACTAGATACACAATAAAACAATTACAGTTAAATGTTAATAGTAGAATCAAGATGTTAAATATACAGGTGTATCTATTATAAAATATTTTTAAATTTGTTGAACGCTAAAAATTTTCATAAAATGATGTTAAAAAACCTTACCAAATATAAATATCAAGCTATACCAATGAAAAATATCAATCAATATGTCTTTTTAATCTTGTAACTAACTTATTCACGGGATGACAGTTACTAATATGCCATGTAACTCAAAGATTACAAAGTATAAATTCCTAAAATTTAAAGCATATATGTGTACAAATTTCAAAATTCCACTGAAATTAAATCTCTAATTCTTAAACGGCTCAAATTTAAAATCAAAGCAGTCATATTTCCTAGAACTGGTACTTCTCCCAAGATCACTATAAGATAAATGTCCCAAAAATTATAAATTGCAGGATTTGAGCATGAGTATATAAGAAGTCAAACTGGACAAAATATCAGTAAGTAGTTCTTCTTGTGATATGAAAAAAGTAAAATTCAAAGGCAGCTAACTATGAAAATTATATCATGAAAATATCTAGATCACTGATAGTACAGGGAAAATAATTTTTTTTGAAATATAATTTGTCCTTTTTAAGCTATTTTAAAGAAACACAACTAACTGGATCTAAGAGTCAAGTCTAATATCTAAGAAAGAACAAAAGTTTTTCAACAAAAGAATTTGCCTTTGTTCTTAGCTCAAAGTGTTAAAATCACTTATCTAGAATAATATTAAAAATGCAAGATAAAGATACAACCTGTAGCTACAATCTGTAGCATTCCAATTTTCAAATAGAAATAAAAATAAATGTTTACATACCTAATATTATTTTTAAGAATTTTCAAGCAACTGAAACATTTAAAGGTTGTGTAAGTCTTCTGTTCTTCCTGGACATCTCCTTCATGCTTCCCATAATAAAAGTCATTAACTAACATGATCAGTTTTCCTTTTTCTGAATCAACAGTTTTATTTTTATTTGCTGTACTTGAAATTTCTGTTTTAGCCAGCCCCAAAACGTTATTTATCATGTCTGGACAACAGTACTGCAAGAGAAAAAAACAGAAGCCTTATTTATCACTTTAAAAAATTAGAAACCAAAATATGGTTCTTTGTTTACAACTAAGGTAAGATCGTGTAAAATTGTGATTGGTAATATATCTGGAAAAATTTTTGCCAAAAGCCTGCCCTGCATATACACACTCTAAAAACTTCAAACAATAAATATCTATGATCTTAATAAATAAAAAAAATTTTTTAAAGACAGAAAAGAAAAATATTAAAATCAGGATGTGGATATTGATCTAATAGTTTCTTCCTTATAATGTACTTTTTCATATGTAAATATCTAATAATATTTAAATTAACTAAACAATTATTCATATCCATGTCATAAAGAGTATAGAAAGGAAACACAGTTTTACATGCCACAATGTATATGCTTAATTATCAAGTGATATACTAAATTTTGCAATATCTGGTTGGAACTGGACACTGAGTACAGTTAATCTGCCATTCCCAAGACTCAAGGTGTTAGAAAATATATAGGGACAAAATAAAGAAGCATCAGTTATATCTTGAAAGCTTCAGCAATTACATCTTGATATCTAGAATGCTCATATATTTGAAGGGGAACTTTAGTTTCTAGTGAGTAAAATCAAGGTATCATATAAACTAGTTCTAAGGTGGAGTACTTTCATACATGAACTTTTTTCTTTCAACAAGATAATTTATTCTACATAATTTTCAGTTTTAGAATTTCTCTAAGGCAGTTTTACACAGAGGGCAATCCAAGCAAGGCTTGCATTAGAAAAACCAGAAATGTTTGTGAAAATGCTGAGTCCAATTCAGACCAATAAACCACAATGTCTAGAGGTAGGGCCCAGAAACCTATATTCTTTAACATGCCACCTAGGTAATTCCACCTTCAAGGATCACTGCCTTGTCATGGCGAATGGGCTTGTGTAACTTGATGAAGCTATGATCATGACATGTAGAGCCACCTGAGACAGACGGGTCATAGTGGAGAGTTCTGACAAAACGTGATCCACTGGAAGAGGGATCCACTCCAGTACATGGGCCATAAGAACTTCATGAACTGTATAAAAGGGCAAAAGATATGACACCAAAAGATGAGTCCCCCAAGTCTGAAGGTGTCCCATATGCTACTGGGGAAGAGTGGAGGAGAACTACTAATAATAGCTCTAGAGAGAATGAAGTGGGTGGCCAAAGTGAAAATGATGCTCAGCTGTGGATGTCTGGTGATTAAAGTAAAATCTGACACCACAAAGAACAGTATTGCATAGAAACCTGGAATGTTACTACTGTGGGCAAGAATCCCTTATAAGAAATGAAGTAGCTCTCATAATCAATAATGTAGCCCAAAATGTAGTACTTGGGTGCAACCTCAAAAATGACAGAATGATCTCAGTTCATTTCCAAGGCAAGTCATTAAACACCACAGTAATCCAAGTCTATGCTCCTACCACCATATTGAAAAAGTTGATCAGTTCTATGAAGACCTAGAAGACCTCCTAGAACTAATACCAAAAAAAGAAGTTCTACTCATCACTGGGGACTGGAATGAAAAAGTAGGAAGTCAAAAGATACTTGGAGTAACAGGCAAGTTTAGCCTTGAAGAACAAAATAAAGCATGGCAAAGGCAAGAGATGACTTTACACATGGACATGTGTAAATAGCCAATACTGAAATCAGATTGATTACATTAATTGTAGCCAAATATAAAGTGTATACAGTCAGCAAAAATAAGACCTGGAGCTGACTGTGGCTCAGATCATCAGCTTCTCATAGCAAAATTCAGGCTTAAACTAAAGAAAGCTTGGGAAACCACTAGGCCAGTCAGGTATGACTTAAATCCCCTCTGAATATGAACATTGATGCTTTTGAACTGTGATGTTGAATAAGACTCTTCAGAGTCCCTTGGACTGCAAGGAAATCAAACCAGTCAAACCTAAAGGAAATCAGCCCTGAATATTCATTAGGAGGACTGATGATGAAGCTGAAGCTCCAATACTTTGGCTACCTGATGTGAAAACTGACTCATTGGAAAAGACCCTGATGCTGGGAAAGACTGAAGGCAGGAGGAGAAAGAGACAACAGAGGATGAGATGGTTGGATGATATCACCAACTCAATCGACATGAGTTTGAACAAGCTCCAGGAGTTGGTGATGGACACAGAAGCCTGGCGCTGCAGTCCATGGGTGGCAAAGAGTCGGACATGACTTAGTGACTTAACTGAACTGATGAATAGGCAGTGGAGGTAACAAATAGATTAAAGGGATAAGAACTTGTGAACAGTATGCCTGAAGAACAATGCAAGGAGGTCCACAATACTGTAAAAGAGGCAGTGAACAAAACCATCCCAAAGAAAAAGAAAAGCAAGAAAGCAAAGTGGTTATCTGAGGAGGCCTAGCAAATAGCTAAAGAAAGAAGTGAAAAGCAAGGGAGAAAGGGAAAGGAATATCCAACTAAATGCAGATTTCCAAAGAACAGCACAGAGAGACAAGAAGGTCTTCTTCAATGAACAGAGTATAAATCTAGAAGAAAACAACAGAAGGAGAAAGATTAGAGATCTCTTCAGGAAAACTGGAGACATCAAGGGAACACTTTGCCTGAAGATGGGCACAATAAAGGACATAAATGGTAAAGACCTAGTAGATGCTGAAGAGATCAAGAAGAGAAGGAAAGAATACCCAAAAGAACTGTATAAAAAAGATCCAGGTGAACCAAATGACTACAATGGTGTGGTCAGCAACCCAGAGCCAGACATTCTGGAGACTGAAGTCAAGTGGGGCTTAGGAAGCACTGCTGTTAATAAAGCTAGTGGATGTGACCAAATTCCAGTAGAACTATTCAAAACCCTAAAGGATGATGCCATCAAGGTGTTGCATTCAATATGTCAGCAAATCTGGAAGACCAAGCAGTGTCCACAGGACTGGAAAAGGTCAATCCTCATCCCAATTCCCAAGAAGGGTACTACTAAAGAATGTGATAACCATCAGACAATTGCACTCATCTCCCATGCTAGTAAGGTCATGCTTAAAATCTTGCGTGCTAGGCTTCAGCATATGTGAACCAAGAACTTCCAGATGTCCAAGCTGGGTTTAGAAAAGAAAGAGTAACCAGAGATCAAATTGCCAATATTTGCTGGATCATAGACAAAGCTAAGGAATTCCATAAAGACATCTACTCTGTTTCATCGGCTAGGCCAAAGCCTTTGACTGTGTGGATCATTAACAAACTATGGAAAGCTCTTAAGAGAGATGGGAATACCAGACCATCTTACCCGTCTCCTGAGAAACCTGTATGCAGGTCAAGAAGCAACAGTTAAACCCTGTATGAAACAACTGATTGGTTCAAGACTGAAAAAGGAGTACAACAGGGCTGTCTGCTGTCAGCTTGTTTGTTTAATCTATATGCTGAGCACATCATGAGAAATGTCAGGCTGGATGAGTTACAAGCTGGAATCAAGATAGGCGGGAGAAACATCAACAACCTCAGATATGTGGAGGATACCACTTAATGGCAGAAAGTGAAGAGGAACTGAAGAGTCTCTCAATGAGGGTGAAGGAGGAAAGTGAGAGATAGTTTAAAACTAAATATTAAAGAAACAAAGATCATGGCATCCGGCCCCATTACTTCATGGCAAATAGAGGTGGAAAAGGTGGAAGTAGTGACAGATTTCCTTTTCTTGGTCTCTAAATCACTGCAGATGGTGACTGCAGCCAGGAGATCAGAAGACGTCTGCTTCCTGGCAGGAAAGCTATGACAAACCTAGACAGTGTGTTGAAAAGCAGAGACATTACTCTGCTAACAAAGATCTGTGTAGTCAAGGCTATGGCCTTCCCAGTGGTCACATACAGTTGTGAGAGCTGGATCATAAAGAAAGCAGAGTGCCAAAGAATTGAGACTTTCAAACTGTGGTGCTGGACAAGACTCTTGAGAGTCCCTTGGAGAGCATGGAGATCAAACCAATCAATCTTAAGGGAAATCAACCCTGAAAACTCATTACAAGAACTGATGCTGAAGTTGAAACTCCAGTATTTTGGTCATCTGATGCAAACAGCTGACTCATTGGAAAAGTCCCTGATGCTGGGAAAGATAGAGGGCAGGAGAAACGGGCATCAGAGGATGAGACGGCACTGATGCAATGGACACAAATCTGGGCAAACTCTGGGAGATGATGAGGAACAAAGAGGCCTGGCATGCTACAAACCACGGGGTCACAAAGAGTCAGACACAACTGGGCTACTGAACAACTACATAATTTTTTTACAATTTAAACCATTGACTTAAACTCTTCCTATACATGTTATTTAGTAAGTTAGTCACATCATAAGAAAGTCTGACAATCTAAACACAACTCTATTCCATTTATAAAAATGACAACATCTTCCTCTCCTGCCATATTGAAATGCTACATTATTGGTGAAACTTCGTTATGTCACATGAGAAACTGGGCTTTTGACATGACAGACCTATAACATTTCCTTTGATTGCAGTTATTCTGCTCACTTGTCAATTCTGAAACCTTTAAAGGGGAGGGAAAAAAGCACACAAAAAATAACTTTAAAAAATCCTCTAAAAGAGAGGAGAAAAAAATACTAAATAAAATGAACTGACCAAAAGTGATATAATTTGTTTCTGGAGTTAAGGTTGTACCCATAAGCTAAAGTAGGACATTAGTTCTCTAATTCAATATGATCCTCTGTGGTCTAACTCTAAAAGACACAGTTGAAATGAAACCACAATAAAAAGAAGGAAATGAGAAAGGATTCGCTACCTGTATTTATAGATTCTTCTTAAGACACACATAATATTTAAGAGTTCAAACTTAGGAAACTTGGACTGTTAAAAGAACTTTAGAAAGCTAAGTTCTGTTTAAAAACGTTGGGTTTGACTTTAAGGAAAAATGGAGAAAAAGATCAATCAGAGTAAACTCACCAGCACTATTAGAAAAATGATTTAAAATATGTGTCTTACTACAAATGATGTGCATCTGTAACATCATTTTGATAGATAAAACTTCTCACCTTATCTGAGGTTTTACTATTGGGATGGATCTCAAACGTCAACAGGAAAAATTATAATGCAAAAAAGTTACATAAAAGAATAGTGTCTCTAATTACAATTGTGGATAATCTTTATACTCAAAAATTTGACTTTCAGACTGAAGAGTTATTCTGAGCCATATCTGAGAACTGAGGCTATTCTGAAATCTATAAAAGAATCTACGTAATCTATGGCAAAATATGCTGCAAGGTTCATATTCTTCAGAAATGTCTGATTTAGTACATCCATAAAAATTTAATACCCTAAATACTCATAAGCACATAATTGATGATCAACTGCTTGCTGTTGTTCCATTTTCTTTTTTTTCTACAGAAAACTAAGATAGGACCAGATTTTTTAAATAAACATATAAATCTCATTCAAAGTATCTTTTAAACATATATGAAACATATGTTTCATATCCCTATAAAAAAAAAGCTGAATGACAAACCACCAACAACCAAAAATAGAAAAGGTGCACTGAAGAAGGTTGGGAGATTTAGTAACTGAGAGGAAAGCAAAGTATAGAAAATATACAAAAGACAAGAAAGCAAAATTAAGAAATGAGAACCAGGCTATGATTTAAAGTTTTAGAGGACTGTAGTCAAATGTCTTGAACAGGAAAGAACTCAAAGAATACTGTTCCAGATTGTTTTTGAAGAAATTACTAGATGAACTTTAATCAAACAAGTGATAACCAAAGGAACCATGACAAAAAGACTGGTGATGGACACTGAATCTATTTACTGTGGAAAAGGATTAAAACAAATACAAAATAAGGATAAGAATATTGAAAATGTTATATGTCCTTGACAGTGGGAAAATGATATAACCAACAAATAAAAACTGAAAGGAGGTAAAAGGGCAATAAATATGAAGTCAAGAAAGTTCACAGATTGCTTCATACATGGTAGCAGCACATCAAGGAATATAATTTAGAATTACCAAATAAAGAAGTATAGGTATGAGCATTTTTAATAGTATAAAGAAATAGTACACTCAGAAAGATAATATTGACTAATACTAGTAGCAGAGGAAAAAGTAAGAATGGGATTAAGAATAGGAAATTTAAAGCTACTTTAATCAATTTTAGCAGGAGAGAATGGCCATAAGAATAGAAGACTACTGGAATTATATAACATTAGAACTTGAAGGATAAGGATAAACATGAAAACAAAAATACAACTTCTCTAAAAATCCAAACTACATACATATAAAGCAACCACAGAGTGAAAGAGGAAAGAAAGATAACTCAACTTAGTTTAAAAAAAAAAACTGTGACAGAACCCAGATCAAATAAACCTATTACGTCGATGAAAAGAAGGAAATTTAAATCAACTACTGAAACAAAAGAAGATTTTCATGTAGGATTACAACTCTCTACTTAAAGCAAGAGGCATGCTTAAAACAAAGTAACTCAGAAGGGCTGAAAATAGCAATAAAAGGGTAAACAAAGAATACATTAGGCAAATAGAAACCAGAAGAAAACAAAGGTTGTGAGTCTGAATGGCATTAAAAATTAAGACAAAAAAGGACACTTTATAAAAATCCTAAAGGATAGGTTTACAGTATAGTTATAAAAGAGATTCATCTGTATCACAAACAGTATCAACAATCTTAAAAAAGAATTGCAATATACCAAAGAAAATATTGGTACTGAAAGATGTGGATTGAGATGTGTTATTTCTCAATCCACGACAGAGCAAGTAGACAAAAAATAAGTGAAGACACAGAAATCTAAATAATGTAATTAGTAATCTAGATCTGGTTGATAAATATCTAATTCCATACCCTAAAAAAGAACTAATATATCTGGCTTCAAGTTAAATAGCCCATACATTTGTCAAAAGGTGGTAAAAATAAGTATCTGAGAGAACTTGAGCTTTTACCATGAAAGATTTGAACATCAGTTACACCAAATAACTGGCTCTAAAACAATGATAAAAATGTCTATCTCAAGGAATTTTCTAGGAGTTCCCTGGTGGCACAGTGGATAAGAATACACCTGCCAATGTAGGGGACATGGGCTCAATCCCTGGTCCAGGAAGATCCCACATGGCGTGCTTTTAAGCCCATGCACAACCACCATGGAGCCTGCACTCTAGACCCATGAGCCACAGCGACTGAGCCTGCGTGCTCCCACTACCGGAGCCTGCGCACCTGCAGCCTGGGCTCTGCAACAAAAAGCCACCGCAATGAAGAGCCCGCACATTGCTCTAGAGAGTAACCCCACTCTCCATAACTAGAGAAAGCCCATGCACAGCAACAAAGAGCAGCCAAAGAAGATAAAATATATGTTTAGTTTCTAAAAAACAAAGAAAAATAATTTTCTAAGGATTAAATGATGTTTTTAAAGCTTAGTAGTCTCTCCATGGTCTCAAGTAAGGATATGGTTCTTATTATCACAGCACATTTGAATTATGTTTTAGGTATTTTTCATTGAAAGAAAACAATATTTCTGAGGTATAGTCATCTATTTATCTATAACAAAAGCAAAATAAAATCATCTACAAATAATCTAAAAATCTTATTTTTTCAAAATGGAAACTACTATTACAAATTATTGTTTATGTATAAAATACACAACTAGAACATAAAAAGTCTTCATAATTTTATACTTCCCTGAGCAAGATTTAGTGATTATTCTGTAAGATTTTTTATGACATAAATATATCATAAATTATTGATATTACATTCAACTCAGTTCAATAATATGCCTTAGAGCTATCTTCCCATTCAAGAGATTCCATCCTTGTAAAAAATATTGAAGTGTTTTATTATAGATATTATATGAAGTTGTGATTACTTCTAATATGAGTAATCACAAACAAGGGTATAATATATTTTGGAAGTAAAGCTATATTTTGGAAAATGATTGCCAGTCTCACCAGGTACAATATATATAATATGCTTCAGCTTGTATAAGAAACAGAAATGAAATAAGAACATTTGTGTTCACTTGTTTATGCAGAAAGAAGACCAGGGAAGATTAAAAAAAAACAAAAAAGTAATACCTATTATTTTCTTTGAGAGTCACAATGGAAACCAGGTAAATAAGAGACAAGGATAAGAATCTTTACTTGTATGCCCTTATAAAGTTTTAAATTTTGAATCATATGACTATATTACCTACTCAAATAATAAAAGATAACTAAAGAATTTACACTTTTCTTTTTTCCCTATGTCCAAAATGCAAAGCAAAACAAACAAAAAAAACCCCTGGTATCTCAAGATATTACATAAATAGCAAAATTGAAAGCATTTCTACAGATTAATTCTCATATAAAAACAAAGCACAAAGTGCAATTATCATAAGGTACATATTGCAAGCTAAAAGTAGTGACAGACCAAATACAGTTTTATATGCAAATGAAGAGACAATGTTTGAATTTCTAAAGAAATTCCTTTGTTTTTTTCTACTTCTCTTTTTCATAAAATACTCAATCTCAAGAGATCTGTCAATCCCTAAAACAGTGAGCAAGAATCTTTCCTGAAATATTTCCTTACCATTGCATCCTTCTTCTTCTTTCTTTTCTCCACATGATCTAGACTGCCTTTTGTCTTCACTTCTCTTTACCCCTTCCTTCCATTTATACCCAGCACAGAAGAGGAATACAGGCTATCTTTACACAGACATAGCAGGGTACTGTAATACCTACTAAAATATTTTAAGTGAAGTGTTACCTAAACCTATTTCATTTGTACTTTGAAAACTTCTTAAACTCCAATTTCAGAAGTTTCCTGTATCAATAAGAATCTCAAATTAATTTATAACCATTACACAAACTATATTCTGGAGTGAGTTAAAACAATTACTCATATGAAATGCTCTACCATTTGGAGTTTATGTCTGGGTGTTGAAATTAATGTAAAACTAAGATTTTCATTGTATAATGTGACATGCACATATTAGCATGAACAAAAAAGATAACTAAAGGAACTGTTAATTTATATGAAATATTGCATGCATGCGTGCTCAGTAGTGCCTGACTCTTTGCGACCCCATTGACTGTAGCCCGCCAGGCTCCTCTGTCCACAGGATTTTCCAGGAAGAATATTGGAGTGGGTTGCCATTTCCTTCTCCAGGGAATCTTCCCAATGCAGGGGTCAAACCCACATCTCCTATGTCTTCTGGTGGATTCTCTACCACTGAGCCACCTGGGAAGCCTTTATATGAAACATTAAACACATTATAAAATGCCTATTTTTAAGAAGTTTCAAATATGTGTAAGGTAGTAAATAAGATATTTTGAATAATGCATTATTTTCATTTAAAATTAGAATATGATAAGTAGGCATAATATATATGAACTTGATTTTTAAAATTTGATGACTCAGAAGAAATTTTAAAATCTTTTTCTGTGCTGTGCTTAGTCACTTGGTCACGTCCAACTCTTTGCAACCTGATGGTCTACAGCCTGCCAGGCACCTCTGTTCAAGGGGATTCTTCAGGCAAGAATACTGGAGCGGGTTGCCATGTCTTCCTCCAGGGGATCTTTATCTTACATGAAAACAATGATTATGAATATGAACTTTTACCTTATATGAAAATATCACAAGAATATTTATCTCAAGAGCTGAACAAATCATTATTTACTAAAAATCAATCAGTATTTTTAAGGATTTACAAGCCTTTTTAAAATTAAATTCTGAAAAAGTTTTACCTTCATGTGATTTTTCAAAGGATCCAAAAGATTGAAATGAATATTGCATTTTGGACAGGCTCTTGGAAAAGGTGTTCCATTTTTAGACTGATTTGATGAAGTATTTGTACCTAAAATAAATTCAAAATATATATGATTCAAAATTCAACACTTTTTAATCTTCAATAACTACTATTAATCATTTGTACTACAATTTCTGTAATTCATATATAAATACTATACTTTCTTTTTGTATGCCACATTTCATATTTACCTTTTGATGGCACAGCCTGGGGAGATGTCACTGAAAGAGATTTAGCTGAAGAAAATACAGCTGAGGAATTTGTTCCACAAACACCTTCATTGGGTTTAGACTTTTTTGGGTTAACACTGTTTACTTCAGAAGTAGAAGGACGTTTTGATAAAAATGAACTTTCATTCATACCTACAGTGATTTAAGTAGTAGAAAAATATTTTTAAAGTCTTTAAAATATTGCTTACAACAAAGTAAAAATACTTTGGAGCTAAATTAAAAAATACTTTGGAGTCAAACTGAAAGTAATATAATCAACATATCATACAAGTAACAATAAATAATGACAAAAATTGATGTGATCTAAAGTTAGGATAAAAAGAAACTACAAAATATCTATTATATACAATATATACTAAAATAGTTCATAAAATACCATTCTATGTGGGAAAATAATAAATATGGCTTCAAAAAAATATAAAAATAACTACTATGAAAGAAGGCAGAGCAAAATATGTCAAGCAAAAAAAAAAAACTTAAAATACAGAGCATATGCCAAAATAAGTTCCCACGAATGAATTAAATTTAGATGCTTAAGTAAATGAGTTTGTTTAAAAAAATTTTTTTAGAGAGACACTTTAGAAGCTTTTTATTTAACAACTTAAAATGGCTAATGAAAAGTTAGTTTTGTCCACTTAACAAAGAGGTGGTCTACTTATGGCTTTCAAAAAACTCAACATTCAAAAAATGAAGATCCTGGCATCCGATCCCATCACTTCATGGCAAATAGATGGGGAAACAGTGGAAACAATGACAGACTTTATTTTCTTGGGCTCCAAAATCACTGCAGATGGTGACTGCAGTTGTGAATTAAAAGATGCTGGCTTCTTGGAAGAAAAAGCTATAACAAACCTAGACAGCATATTAAAAAGCAGAGACATTACTTTGCTGACAAAGGTCCATATAGTCAAAGCTATGGTCTTCTAGTAGTCATGTATGGATGTGAGAGTTGGACCATAATAAAGGATGAACACTAAAGAACTGATGCTTTTCAACTGTGGTGCTGGAGAAAACTCTCGAGAGTCCCTTGGACTGCAAGGAGATCAAACCAGTCAAGCCTAAAGGAAATCAATCCTGAATATTCATTAGAAGGACTGATGTTGCAGCTGAAGCTCCAACACTTTGGCCACCAGATGTGAAGAACTGACTCATTGGAAAAGACCCTAATGCTGGGAAAGATTGAAGGCAGGAGAAGAAGAGGACACGACAGAGAACGAGATGATTGGCTGGCATCACTGACTCAATGGACATGAGTTTGAGCATGTTTATGGGAGATGGTGAAAGACAGGGAAGCCTGCCATGCTATATAGTCCATGGGGTCGCAAAGAGTCGGACATGACTGAGCGATGAACAACTCATGGCTTTAGGTTATACTGTCCATTTATTCTTACACACAGAGTTGAAATGGCTAATCTTGAATGATAAAACCTCACACATTCATGTGAAAGGGCTCATAATAGAAGAGTTAGGATTATACAACGATTTTAAAATTAGCTTCCCCAGAGCCTAAAGGGTTCTTCCTTAGGGAATATACTGGTTGTGTCTGACAGAGAAACTGTGTTTTTATATGCTATTTATTAGACTTTTGAATAAAATTTTGTTTTTATAAGGATTTCACTCCTAAGTGAAGTTTTAGGTTTGAAAACTATAACCTTAAAGCCTAAAGGACTGTAGCCTTAGAGGATTAGCAAGAGAAATGGAGATAGTTAGGCTATAAGTAGGCTGAGTAAAAATTCTTTTTTAAAATAAAACAATGTACTTGGTAACAAGGATTTTAAAACTGCACATAATATTTTAATGCTCTCACAACTGTACACTGAAAGTAGAAGCAAAAAATATCTCAGGCTTTCAAATCAGACAGGTTAAGTTCAAATCAAAGCCCTGTCACTGATAAGCTATGTATTCTTGGCTCATTTAATTAACTTCTCTGAGCCTCAGTTTCTTCTTTTGTAAATTAAGAGCTATAACACCTTATTTTACCCAGTGCTTTTAAGATCAAGTAAGATAGTGCATTTAAAAATAAAGCATGCAACACAGTATTTGGTATAAAGAAGGCATTTAATAATAAACGAAAGCTATTATCATTACTAAAAAAAACCTTTCATATCTTAACTTTTAACAACCAACACAACATCTGGCACACAGAAAGCATTCAGCAATAAAGGATAGTATCTTGTCATTACTAATAAGATATTTTATATCTTAACATACTTTAGAGGGCAAAAATTATTCTAATAGTTTCATCTGTCTGATTTTTTAATAAGGGAAAATATGCCCAGAAAATAAGGGCATTACACTACCTAGCTCCTCTGTTTCATCCTCTGAGATAACATAAAAATGATTTTTTTTTCCCCTATCTTCAAAGAATGTGATTACTGATGGCTATACTATAAGTACCTGGGAAAGCTTTTGTATAATCAGAGTAGCATTCTTGTGAGATGCTTAGGCTACTTGAAAAGTTAATGAATAGGGATATTTTGGGTTAAAATTCTGATTATATAGTACAAACAGACTGTTAGTTTGTACTGCTAGATAGTACAAACAGACTGTTTTATGATAAGAATATTTTTTTAACACAAGAAACAAAATTACTCTGAATTTGAGAGTTTTAAATTCTGACCCTTTAACTTATCCCTATTATCTTTGGCTACCATTATTTCCTACACTCAACAGCTCTACCTCTGCCAGTAAAAATCCTATTCTCATTCAAAATCAAACTCAGTTCTTCCCAAACATCCATGATCACTTAACCTTGATCAGTTAATCATGCTAGTGAACATATTACACCGGTTACTATTCATAACAAATATTTGTTGTAGAGCCCCTTAAAGCTTACAAAGCATTTCACATTTTATTTATCTTACTTGGTTTTCAGAAAATCCTAAGTAAAAGAGAGCAAGAATTAAAACTGCATCTATAAATAGCTGATTGCAGGTCTGGAGAATGAATGCATTAAATAAGAAAACTAACATTTCCATTTCAATGATCTGAGAAAACTGAAGAGTAAAGATGTGCTACAGACTACAAAAATCCTAATAGCAGCTCAACACTACAGCTTTAAGTCGCTCTGCAGTTTTAAAATGCTAGAAGGAGAGCAGGAGTCATTGTTCTTAGCCCCAGGTCATTTCAAGAACTCAGGTTTTTCTATAAATATAGTCCATGTGTTTTGTAAAACCAGACTTAAGACAATAATTTTTCTCCTTGTTTCTTCTGGTTATTACCTATTTTAGCAACTAGATTTTTAAAAATATGTAGTTGAAACAACCAAAGAAATGAACATCAACTAAATATTATATAAATGGAAAAACATTTTCGGTACTGATATTACTATAAAAACGGGAAAACATTTCCTAAATTTTCCACACTTATTAGTGGATAAACCAAAAATTCCCCCAAATCTGTATTCAAATCACTATTTTAAGTATTTGAAATATATCAAAATACTAGTATTCAAAACATAATTCCCTGTACAAAGAATTTTCGATTAGATAAAATTGTTTCATAACACACTACATTAAGTTAATGAAGAACTTTGTTGTTTATAGTCACTAAATCGTGTCTGACTCTGCAACCCCAAGGACTGTATGTAGCACACCAGACTCCTCTGTTCTCCACTATCTCCCACAGTTTTGCTCAAATTTATGTCCACTGAGTCAGTGATGCTATCTCACCATCACATTCTCTGTTGCGCCATTCTCTTTTGCTTTCAATCTTTCCCAGCATCAAGGTCTTTTTCAATGACTCACTCTTTGTATCAGGTAGCCAAAATACTGGACCTTCATCTTCAGTCCTTCCATAATATTCAGGGCTGATTTCCTTTAGGATTGACTAGTTTGCTTTCCTTACAGTCCAAGAGACTCTCAAGAGGCTTCTCCGACACCACAGTTCAAAAGCATCCATTCTTCAGTGCTCAACTTTCTATATGGTCCAACTTGCATGTTCATACATGACTACAGGAAAAACCATGGCATGCTGCAGTCCATGGGGTCACAAAGAGTCGGACACGACTAAGTGACTGAACTGAACAGGAAAAACCAAAGTTTTGACTATATAAACCTTTGGTGACAAACTGATGTCCCTGCTTTTTAATACACTGTCTAGGTTTGTCATAGCTTTCAAGGAGCAAGCGTCTCTTAATTTCATGGCTGCAGTCACTGTCCACAGTGATTTTAGAGCCCAAGAAAAAAAAAACCTGTCACTGCTTCCACTTTCAACCCTTCTATTTGCCATGAAGTGATGGGATTGGATGCCATGATCTCAGTTTCTTTGAATGTTGAGTTTCAAGTTCAGTCTCCTGTTTCACCCTTAGCAAGAGGATCTTCACTTTCTGTCACTAGAGTGCATATCTGACGTAGGGATATTTCTCCTGGAAATCTTGATTCCAGCTTATGCGTCATCCAGCCAGGCATTTTGCATGATGTACTCTGCATTTAGGTTAAATAAGCATGGTGACAATACTCCTTGTATTGTCCAAGCCTTTTCATACTCCTTTCCAAGGAGTATGTATACTCCAAGCCTTGTCATACTCCTTTCCCAATTTTGAACCAGTCAGCTGTTCCATGTCCAGTTCTGTTACTTCTTGACCCACATACAGATTTCTCTGAAGGCAGGTAAGGTGGTCTTGCATTCCCACCTCTTTAAGAATTCTCCATAGTTTGTTGTAATCCACACAGTCAAAGGCTTTTGTGTAGTCAATGAAACAGAAGTATCTGTTTTTCTGGAACTCCCTTGCTTTCTCCATGACCAACGAATGTTGGCAATTTGATCTCTGGTTCTTCTGCCTCTTTGAAACCTAAGCTTGTACATCTGGAAGTTCTCGGTTCACATACTATTGAAACTTAGCTGGAAGGATTTTTTACTATAACCTTGCTAGCATGTGAAAAGAGTACAATTGTACAGTAGTTTGAACATTCATTGTCACTGCCCATCTTTGGGATTGGAATGAAAACTGACCTTTTCCAGTCCTGTAGCCTCTGTTGAGTTTTCAAATTTGTTGGCATATTGAGTGCAGCACTTTAATAGGATCATCTTTTAGGATCTGAAATAGTTCAGCTGGATTTCCATCACCTCCACTAGCTTTGTTTGAAGTAATGCTTCCTAAGGCCCACTTGACTTCACACTCCAAGATGTCCAGCTCTAGGTGAGTGACCACACCACCATTGTTAATCAAGTAATTAAGACTTTTCTGGTATACTTCTTCTGTTGGTATTCTTGCCACCTCTTCTTAATCACTTCTCTTTCTGTGAGGTCCTTACCGTTTCTGCCCTTTATCATGCCCATCCTTGTATGAAATGTTCCCTCGTAATCTCCAATTTTCTTGAAGAGATCTCTGGTCTTTCCCTATAGTTTTCCTCTATTTCTTTGCATTGTTCATTTAAGAAGGTCTTCTTGTCTCTCCTTGCTGTTTTCTGGAACTCTGCTTTCACTGCAGTGTATCTTTAACTGTCACTTCTCTTCTTTCCTCAGGTATCTGTTAAGCCTCCTCAGACAACCACTGTGCCTTCTTCCATCTCTTTTTCTTTGTGACAGTTTTGGTAAACTGCCACCTGTACAATGCTATGAACCTTCGCCCATAGTTCTTCAGGCACCATCCATCAGATCTAATCCCTTGAATCTACTCATCACCTCTGCTGTATAATCATAAGGGAGTTGATCCAGACAAGAATTCTGGAGTGGGCTGCTATTTCCTCCTTCAGAGGTCTTCCCAGGGATCGAACCTGTGCCTCTTATGTCTCCTTCATTGGCAGGCAGGTTCTTTACCACTAGTGCTACTTGAGAATTCCCAAAACCTGAATGGCCTAGTTGTTTTCCCTACTTTCTTCAATTTAAGCCTGAATTTTGCAATAAGAAGCTCATGACCTAAGTCACAGTCAGCTCCAAGTCTTGTTTTTGCTGACTGTATACAGTTTCTCTATCTTTGGCTGCAAAGAACATAATCAATCTGATTTCAATACCGACTATCTGGTGATGTCCACATGTACAGTCATCTCTTGGGTTGCTGGAAAAGTTGTTTGCTATGACCAGTATGTTCTCTTGACACTCTGTTAGCCTTTGCCCTGCTTCATTTTGTACTCTCAGGCCAAACTTGCCTGTCACTCCAGGTGTCTCTTGACTTCCTATTTTTGCATTCCAATCCTCTATGATGAAAAGGACATCTTTTTTTGGAGTTAGTTCTAGAAGTAGGTCTTCATAGAACTGGGCAACTTCAGCTTCACTGGCATCAGTGATTGGGGCATAGGCTTGGATTACTGTGATGCTGAATGGCTTGCCCTGGAACCAAACCAAGATCATTCTGCTGTTTTGCAGACTGCACCCACATGCTACATTTCAGACTCTTTTGTTGACTATGAGGGCTACTCCATTTCTTCTAAGGGATTCTTGCCCGCAGTAGTAGTTATAATGGTCATCTGAATTAAATTTGCCCGTTCCTGTCCATTTTAGTTCACTGATTCCTAATATGTCAATGTTCACTCTTGCCATGTCCTGCGTGAACACATTTAATTTACCCTGAAACAATGGAGACAGGGACAGACTTTATTTTCTTGGGCTCCAAAATCACTGCAGATGGTGACAGCAGCCATGAAATTAATAGATGCTTGCTCCTTGGAAGAAAAGCTATGACAAACCTGGACAGCATATTAAAAAGCAGAGATAATACTTTGCCGACAAAGGTCCGTCTAGTCAAAACATGGTTTTTCCAGTAGTCATATGTGGATGGGAGAATTGGAGCATAAAGAAAGCTAAGTGCCAAAGAACTGAAGCTTTTGAACTGTGATGTTGGAAAAGACTCTTGAGAGTCCTTTGGACTGCAAGGAGATCCAACCAGTCCATCCTAAAGGAAATCAGTCCTGAATATTCATTGGAAGGGCTGATGCTGAATCTGAAGCTTCAATATTTTGGCCACCTGATGGGAAGAACTGATTCAGTGGAAAAGACCCTGACGCTGGGAAAGAGTGAAGGCAGGAAGAAAAGGGGGACAACAGAGGATGAGATGGTTGGATGGCATCATCGACTCAATGGACGTGAGTTTGAGCAAGCTCTAAGAAATGTTGCAGTTCATACAGTCACAGAGAATCAGACACAACTGAGTGACTGAACTTAACTGACTGAAGTTACCTTGATTCACAGACCTCACATTTCAGGTTCCTATGCAATATTGTCCTTTACAGCATCAGACTTCACTGTCACCACCAGATATAACCACAACTGAGCCTCGTTTCTGCTTTGGCCCAGCCACTTCATTCTTTCTGGAGTTATAAGTAATTGCCCTCCACTTTTACCCAGTAGCATATTGGACACTTTTATCATAGTATAAAATAAAGGTAACTCTGCTTCAACAGGGAAACTTCATTACTCCTTTAATGGGCGTTTAGTGAGTACTGACTATAGAAGAATTTAGTGCAGCCACTTTATAATGGCACTCTATAATCATATTTTATATCTAAATCATTTATTGAATATAAACATACTAACCTAATTGAGAAATTATTAACTATAATCATACACTCTTCCATACTAGTGGCTACAGAACCTAACAAATATTTCTTTTTACATAGTATTTAGAGTATCAGAAAACTTCCTTAACTTAAAGAAATTACTTTAAGAATTTTCACAATAACAGAACTATAGATCAATGAAACCGGATACAAAGTCCAGAAATAAACCCACACACCTATTTTCAATTAATATACAAAAAAGGAAGCAAGAATAGACAATGGAGAAAAGACAATTTCTTCAGTAAATAATGCTGGGAAAACTGGACAGCTATATGTAAAACAATGAAATTAGAACATTCTCTAACACCACATGCAAAAATAAACTCAAAATGGATCAAAGACCTAAATGAAAGGCCGGACAGTATAAAACTCAGAGGAAAACATAGGCAGAACACTCTCTGACATAATTTACAGCAATGTTTTTTTTGATCCACTTCCTTTGGTAATGAAAACAAACAAACAAAACACAGTGGGACTTTATGACTTAAAAGTTTCTGTCCAGCAAAGGAAACCATAAACAACATGAAAAGGTAACCAACAGAATGGGAGAAAATATTTGTAAACAAACCAACCAACAAGGGATTTATCAACATCACAAATTATCAGAGAAGTACAAATCAAAACAACAAAGAGGTATCACCTCACACCAATCAGAAAGGCCATCACCAAAAAGTCTACAAACAATAAATGCTAGAGGTGTGACGAGAACCCTCTTGCACTGTTGGTGGGAATGTAAATTGGTACAACCATTATGGAGAACAGTATGGAGGTTCCTTAAAAAACTAAAAACGGAGCTACCATAAGATCCAGTAACCCCACTCCCGGGCATATTACTGGAAAAAACCATACTTCAAATAGATATATGCACACGAATGTTCACTGCAGCACTATTTACTATAATCAAGACATGGAAGCAACCTAAATGTCCATCTACAGAGGAATGGATAAAGAAGATGTGGTACATGTATACAACTGAATAGTAGCCATAAAAAGAACAAAAAAGGCCATTTACAGCAACGTGAATGGACCTAGAAATTACCATGTTAAGTGAAGTGAGTCAGCCAAAGACAAATATAAAATATCACTCATATGTGGAATATAATTTTTTAAAAAGATACAAATAGATTTATTCACAAAACAGAACCAGACTTAAAGATACTGAAAACAAACTAATGGCTACCAAAAGGGAATGTGGGCACAGACAAATAAACCAGGAGCTTAGGACGAACACATATACACTATTATATATACAACAGATAACCAACAAGGACCTACTGTACAGCACAGAGAATTTTACTCAATAATGTGTGATAACCTATATTGAATCTAAAAAAGAATGACTATATATAACGTATAACTGAATCAAGTTGTTATACACCTGAAACTAACATAACATTGTAAATCACCTATACTCCAATAAAACAAAGTAAAAATAAAATAACAGCAATAAATAAATAAATAAAATAAAAACTTTTTTTTAGCCCATGTTTAATGCCAAGTGAGAACAAGGTCAAAGTTGCTTAGCATACTTAATTAACAGGAAGAAATGTAACATTCTATTACTAAATAAGATTTCAAAATGGCATTCAAGAACTATTAGTGCCATTATACCTTACAATATGTGAAAAACTTAACATGAAGGCATGGACCTCAAAACAGAAAGTCAATTTCATATGCATATTCACCAAGTTTTCTTTTTCTAATTTTTTGAAAAAGTGCTGAAACCAACCTGTTATAGAAACTGCTGGTCCTCCTTGGTAATGTGGTAATCCTGAATCTTGGGTCAAGTCAAACAGTAACTCTGAAGAATTATTAGAAACAACTCGTGATGAGTTCATTACATAACCCTGTTAAAATATTTCAAAGGAAGAACATTACACGTAGTCAAACAAAGTTATAATTATTTTGCTTCACAAACTTTTGTAAAGGGAAATGTAATTGTATACCAATATTATAAGGATAACCTTTAATGATTCCATTACTAATGAGTTAAAAAACACAACGCAATTATCACTATTATGCTGAAATTAATATCTACTAAAACTGAAAGCAAGTTATTACTGCTGCTGCTGCTAAGTCACTTCAGTCGTGTCCGACTCTGTTCAACCCCATAGACGGCAGCCCACCAGGCTCCTCCGTCCCTGGGATTCTGCAGGCAAGAACACTGGAGTGGGTTGCCATTTCCTTCTCCAATGCAGGAAAGTAAAAAGTGAAAGTGAAGTTGCTCAGTCGTGTCTGACTCTTAGCGACCCCATGGACTGCAGCCTACCAGGCTCCTCCGTCCGTGGGATTTTCCATGCAAGAGTACTGAAGTGGGGCGCCATTGCTTTCTCTGGTTATTACTGAGGGTTGGCTTATTCCTGACTAGCCAGCTAAAATTAGGGGAAAATTCCAGCCTGATTTTTTTCAAGGTCAAAGAAACATACAAGCCCATTTTAAATCAGTAAGACTGATATACTTCAGAGTCACTAAAAATGCATAATTCCTATCAAAGAGCAAATAACAGAAGTTATCAAAATCTTTGGGTAAAAGCAAGGAAAAAATAAGTAAACATACTGACATAAGTACAATTTTAAAAGGTTCTATTCCTCTATAAACCCCACAGATAAAATATCAGGGCAAACAAATTGGGAACTACTCTGCAGTATGGTGCATCAATATTAGGGATGAACATATCACATGGTACGAGTTTTGCAATCATTTTTATTGGCAAAATTTATAAGCCAAGTCTCAAGAAGAGAACCCCCCACTCTTCCCACCATACTATGCAAAGTCAAGCTGGGTCAGGCAACCTCCCATCTCATAGGGCAAATATACAAACTGTCAGCAGGATGAACAAGTAAGAAAGCTAGGCACACAGGATTTAGAATGGAAGCTGTTTATAGGAATGATCTGGGACATCTGCTCCATTTCTTGAGGCCTTAGAGCTCAAGGAAAGCTTCAGCCCTTCATCAGGGCAAAGGGTGGTCTCAGCAGGAAGATATTAAGAAAAGAAGAGTGAAAAGTATGAAAAGAATCATAACATGGTCAAACATAAGGTAGTACAAATTTATATGTTAGCACAAACATATAGGGTATGTAATAGTATATAATGCTAAATAGATTATTTAGTATAAATAATCATGAAAAATATGGTCAATATAATTTAGGCATATATATGTACTCCAAACTTATTATATATTAAATACACTGATACACACACACACAAAATAGATCCCAATGCTATGTATATAAAGATCATCACTGAAGAGCTCTCATTAGAGTGATTTTTGGACCATTCTATGGGTCATAACATACAGCAAGTAAAAGCTCTCAGATTAACAAGACTTAAAGGTTAAAACAGAAAAAAATCACTTTAAGAAAAAAATGGGCAAAGGACATAAACTGAGGCACTTCAAAAACAAAAAACAATGACCAATACATACAAAAACTATTTTCTTCATTTAGTCAAAGAAATGCAAATAAAGACAATTGCAGTTAAACAGTACAAAATAACTGCCACTTCACTAAAAAATATCAAGCTCATAATAGACAAAGAATAAGCAATTGTAGAAAAATATGAGGAGACTAACAAGAAATAACAAACTGTAAGGTGTGATCCTAAATAGAATCCTGGGAATTAAAAAAAGACATTAATGAAAAAACTGGTAAAATTGAATAAGATCTGCAATTTAGTTATGTTAAGTAAGATGACATCAGTACAGGAAACTAGGTTAGGGGTATATAGTATTACTTTCCCTGTAAGTCTAAAATTAGTTTGAATTAAAATTTAAGAATTAAAAAATAATGAAAACACATACAACTGACAAAATAGAGGCTATATTTAGGTATAACTTTTCTGCATGAAAATTTTGGCAGTAGCTATCAAAGGCTTTATATAAGTTCACATCCTTTTGTTCAACTATTCTACTTTAAAAACTTATGGTATGGAAATGAAAATGTTTATTAGATAATTATGGTATTTTTAACAGTAAAAATTAAAAATCTTTATGTCCAACAATGAAATAATGGCTAAATAAATTAAATGACAGACTATCATACAACCACTAATATCAAATGTGGTTTGATATTACACAAACCTTTGTGATATACACAAACCTTAATGTATAATACCAAATGCTATTTTTGAAAAATAGCCAATGACACATTCTTAGTAGAATGTTCAGGGATAAAAGAGAAATACGTATCTGGGTATACAGTATGGTTCTGATTGATATAACCTATACTGTTTGCAGGTGTGGAAAAAAAAAAAGTACAGTATCACTCGTCTCTCTTTCTAAATTTTTCCACCAAAATACACAGTATTTCAAAATAGAAACAGAAAGGTTTTGTTTGTTCTGTGCTTATAAATTAAGGTATAAATAAGTTTTAAGAATTATGGTTTACTACTAACTTTTCTATTGAAATGGGTTTGCCCATAAAAAGTTACAGAAACAAAAATATGGGTGAAAGGAGTTAAAATATACAAGCTTCCAATTATAAAATAAATCATGAAAATGTGATGTTCAGCAAGGTGACTGTGTTAATAACACTATACTGCATATATAAAAGTTACTAAGAGAGATCTTAGAATTTCTCATGACAAGAAAAAAATTCTGTAATGACATATGGTGACAGGAGAACAAGACTTACTGGGGTGGTCATTTCACAATATATACAGATTTTAAACCACTGTTTTGTACACTTGAAACTAATAGCACACTGTACATCTGAAACTAATAGCACGTTGTACATCAACTACACCTCAGCAAAAATTTTTCTTAGTTTTGAAAAGAAGACATAAGCCTTCCTCACCACACCTTCACAAACAGCCAATCTGTCACTAAATAAATAATTACTGTTGTTTAAAAACCAAATGTTATGGAAACAAGTACTGAAGTAACCCAAACAACTCCTAGAATTTAAGGCCTAAAAGGCAGAGATACCTACATTTGAACCTTAATGTGTAATACCAAAAAAAAAAAAATCAGTGATGCCACATTACTTAATTGCAACCAAGCATGATCTTGCTTCATGATAAATACTTTCTTCAAATATTTACACTTAAAAAATGTAAAACATTCACTTACATTTTCTAAAACAGTTAACAGAAGTAAAAAGTTAATACTGTTAAATGCTTTTTTTTAAGGAAACAACTCACAATTTCACAGAGCAGGTACATATTATTCAACAATAACAGATTAAAATAATTATCTAACATAGAACTTGTAATGTCTTCTAAATAGTTCAGAAAGATCAACACAACTGGGCTCCAGAAGATCCACATATTTATTTAGCTACAAAACCTTGGGCAAGTCATTTCTGAACTTGAAGTTATTCACCTTTCACACTTAAAAACAGCCACAAGAGTGCATGCTAGGTCACTTCAGTGGTGCGTGACTCTCTGCAACCCTATGGACTGTAGCCTGCCAGGATCCTCCATCCAAGGCATTCTCCAGGCAAAGATACTGGAGTGGGTTGTCATGCCCTCCTCTAGGGGATCCTTCCATCCCAGGGATTGAACCCTCCTCTCAAGTCTCCTTCATTGGCAGGTGGGTTCGTTACCACTAGCACCGCCTGGAAGTCACAGTCATTATTTTAAATAAACCTGCACTTCAAGTCATATTATATTATTAAAACAAGTAGTTGTCACACAGTACTAATAAAGACCTAATATTATATTCCATTTTATAAATATGTAAACTAACATTTACCTAATAAGTAAACTAATAAAAGGAGCAGTGACCCCACAAGAGATTGACCCAGACTTGCCCATGAGTGTCCAGGAGTCTCCCACAGAGGCGTGGGTCAGCGATGGCCTGCTGCAAGGTTGGGGACACTGAGTATAGCAGTGCAGGCATGAAGGAGGTTGCCATTATCTTTATTACCTCCACTGTAGTTTGGCCTCAGGTCAATTAACAGGGAGGGAACACAACCCCGCCCTTCAACAGAAAACTGGATTAAAGATTTACTGAGCATGGCCCCGCCCATAAGAACAAAACCCAGTTTCCCTGTCAGTCAGTCTCTCCCGTCAGAAAGCTTCAATAAGCCTCTTATTCTCCTTTAGGGGGAAAACAGACTGAAAACCACAATCACCAAAAACTAAACAATCTGACCACATGGACCACAGCCTTGTCTAACTCAATGAAACTATGAGTCATGCCCTGTAGCACAACCCAAGACAGATGGGTCATGGTGAAGAGTTCTGATGAAACATGGCCCATGGGAGAAGGGAATAGCAAATCACTTCAGTATTCTTTCTTGAGAACCCCATGAACAGTATGAAAAGTCAAAAAGATAGGACACTGAAAGATGAACTCCCCAGGTCGGGAGGTCCCCAGGATACTACTGGAGATCAGTGGAGAAATAACTCCAGAAAGAATGAAGGGAGGGAGCCAAAGCAAAAACAACACCCAGTTGTGGATGTGACTGGAGATAGAACCAAGGTCCGATGCTGTAAAGAGCAATACTGCATAGGAACCTGTAATGTTAGGTCCATGAATCAAGGCAAATTGGAAGTGGTCAAACAGGAGATGGCAAGAGTAAATGTTGACATTCTAGGAATCAGTGAACTAAGATGGACTGGAATGGGTGAATTTAACTCAGATGACCATTATATCTACTACTGTGGGCAGGAATCCCTTAGAAGAAATGCTTATTTCATTTATATGCAGAGTACATCATGAGAAACACTGGGCTGGATAAAACACAAGCTGGAATCAAGATTGCCAAGAGAAATATCAATAACCTCAGATATGCAGATGATACCACCCTAATGGCAGGAAGTGAAGAGGAACTAAAAAGCCTCTTGATGAAAGTGAAAGAACAGAGTGAAAAAGTTCGCTTAAAACTCAACGTTCAGAAAAACTAAGATAATGGCATCTGGTCTCATCACTTCATGGCAAATAGATGGGGAAACAATGGAAACAGTGACAGACTTTATTTTGGAGGGCTCCAAAATCACTGCAGATGGTGACTGCAGCCATGAAATTAAAAGACGCTTACTCCTTGGAAGAAAAGTTATTACCAACCTAAACAGCGTATTAAAAAGCAGAGACATTACCTTGCCAACAAAGGTCTATCTAGTCAAAACTATGGTTTTTAGTAGTCATATATGGTTGTGAGAGTTGGACTATAAAGAAAGCTGAGCCCCGAAGAATTGATGCTTTTGAACTATAGTGTTGGAGAAGACTCTTGAGTGTCCCTTGGACAGCAAGGAGATCCAACTACGCCATCCTAAGGAAATCAGTCCTGAATATTCACTGGAAGGACTGATGCTGAAGCTGAAACTCCAATACTTTGGCCATCTGATGCAAAGAACTGACTCATGTGAACCCCAATGCTGGGAAAGACTGAGGGTGGGAGGAGAAGGGGATGACAGAGGATGAGATGGTTGGATGGCATCACCGACTCAATGGACACAAGTCTGAATAAACTCCGTGAGTTGGTGATGGACAGGAAGGCCTGGCGTGCTGCAGTCCATGGGGTTACAAAGAGTCCATGAGCGACTGAACTGAACTGAACTGAAACTAATGTTAGGTGTGGTTACACAAGGCTCCCAATTCAGTCCTACCTATTATTGATGGAGCTGCAATTAGAACTTGGGTCTGTTTATATACAAAGCCTATGCCCTTAAGCTATGTCACACTGACTTTTAAAATACAATATAACCTCACTACCTGAGATTTGAAAGAGATACTGAAGTACAAAGATATTACATGAAAAAGTAAAAATACACATATACAGAAAACAAGACATAAAATGAAAAATTGCAAAATATTTAAAGCAGTGACTTCTAAAATTCAGAGTAAGTTCCCTTACATAGGATTCTCAATTCATTCCAGAGTATATAATATCTCTGTCATTCCTAACTGTGCATGTTAGAATCACATAGAGCACTTTTTTAAATGTATTATTTCTAAGACACATCCACCCGGACCAACTGACAAATTTTTTTTTTAATTCCCCAAGATTGGGAACCATGAATTGAGGTGTTTTGATTTAAAAACTATGCCTATAGGAGCTAGAAAAAGCTCCAGTTTCTAACTTTAAAACCAAAGATACCACCCCTCACTGTTTTTTTTCTCTTTGAGTCCAATGTTGTGAAGATTTTTATATATCAAACTAAATTAAATAATAAAGTTTCTTTTTCTTGTTTTCTATCCCTCAAATGACAAACAGCTTATAATAAGCATGTGAAACTTACCAAGTTAATTTGATTCTACTAAAATCAAAGAATCTTTACATTTTAGGTAGTTTGCCATGTTAGAATCCAAGATTGAGAGTCAGTGAGTGGTCTGGGTAAAATTATCTCTCATTTTAGAAATGAAGAAAATGAGGCTGAGAGAGGTTTTCACAAAGTTTTAGTTTTAAAAAAGGCAGAATCATCATTCAAGTCTCTTGTTTCAATCTAAGTTTTCTAGACAACTAGTCCTGGGCTCATATCAGTATTATTATTTCAGAATGCTAAAACCACAGAAAAGATTTGGAGGCGGGAGGGGAAGGTGTTTGCCCAAAGATACTCTTACTTTTTATAATATATGACCTCTTCAAAACATAATTGGGAGCTGACTTTGTTTAGGTATAGATCTTCCTTTCCATGAAAATAAAATTAAATTTAATAGGTCTTCTATGAAAGAAACATCTCAAAATATAATTTTTTTGTGGTAACAAATATGTGTAATTTACCTAATAGCAATATGGTATGAAATACAGGAAAAATGGATTATTCACACCAAAAATATTTAGATTCAATTCTGTTTTTGAACTTGAATATTTGTAATAAAATCTATAGGTGTTTCACTAGTTGTTTCACTTATTGTAAAAAGAACAAATATTTTAGGGAAAATTTACTAATTCTATAAGGCCAATGTCAAAGAGCTTATGATAGCATGAAAAAAACCAATGAGTTAATTCAAGTCCAGTAGCAAAGAATCTTCAAATTTTGGGTAACGTTTTGTTTAAGTCCTTGATTTCAGAACCCTTTAAATATTTAAAGTCAAAAGAGTTTTTATTTAGGTAGGTTATATCTACTGATATTTACCATATTACATATTAAAATAGAAAATTTCAAAATACTTGTTTATTAATTTCATTTTAAATAACAATAATAAACCCATTACAAATTAACATGAATAACATTTTTTTTAAAAAATGGCTATCTAGCAAACACAAAAAAAATCAGAGAGAACAGTGGCACTGTTTTACATCTCTGCAAATATCCTTAATGTCTAGATTAATAAAAAAAACAGCTATACTCTCATAACTTGCTTCTGCTTTCATTCTGTTAAAATGTTTTGAAGAATCAAGATACTCTGGCTTCATAAATATTAACAGCTAAAAAGGGAGTATTTTAACAGCAAATCACAATAAATGTGGATATATTTCTTTGATACAAGATCCAACAGTTGGTATTTTCTTAAAGGTTTGCTGCAAAGTGGAATCTGACTCCCTATCACTGAGCTTTTTGAACTGTTAAATTAAAATGTATTATCTTGCACTCTGAATGATACTTATTCATGCATGATTTTATTATATCATCATTTAGAAAATACTGGTTTCTTTGAATTATGCAATCCTCCAGATGTTGACAGAGTTCTTTACACAATATAAAAAAATCATTTATTAATACTACCAACTATAAGAAAAGATTTTATATACTGGGAAGCTGTTAAGATCATGATGACTGATACAAGTTGTTCACAATTCTAATTTTTACTTGATAGCTCAAATTTCATCAGTGGTAAGAAATACTATCAGTTGTTTTCCTTTAGGTGACAAGTGCACTTTATTCAATTTTGAGGACGTGTCTACCAAACAACAAAAAGCGAAGAACTCACTGTGTGTGGCAGACAGACTCTTAAAAGTAGCCTCCATGATCCCCACTCCCTGGAATTCATGTACTGTGTGATTCCATCTCTTTGAGTGAAGGCAAGTCATGTGACTTGCTTCCGACAGAATACAGCAAAAGTGACAGGATACAATATGATTTTTCTATGTGACTACATTACATAAGGCTATAACGGCCTCCTGCTAAGCATTTTCTCTCCCTTGTGGGCTCTGAAGAAGTAAGAGCCGTGTTGGGAAAACTCAACCTGGCAAGGAGCCAACCACAAGCCAGTAAAATACTGAGACCCTCAATATGACAATTCGGTTCCTTAAGGAACCGAATGCTACCGATAATCATGAGAACTTGGAAGCAGACACTTCCTTAGTTGAGCTTCACATCTTGAATGAAGCCTTGAGGAACTCTGAAGCAGAAGATCCAGCTAAGACATGACATGACTCCTAACTCACAAAATTTGTGATATAATAGAAGTATGTAGTTTTAAACCACTAAGTTAATAGTAATATACACCATGGTTTCAGTCAACCTTTCAAGTAAAAATGGTCTTCTGGGTAATTTAGCTCAACATTAAACCACACTAGTACTTTTTCCCAAGCTAATCATCATACCTCAGACACAGAAGTATATTATGCATACTACCCATTTCATATGTGAAACATTTTAAAAGACATATATTCAAGCGTAGAGAGTTCATAAAATTAATGGCATTTTAATATTTCACCAAGGTAACTGAGTACGACTGAAATAATTTTTATTGTGAGTACATAGTGGTGACTGGTACAAAAAATACTATATATACTAACACACCAGCAGTACAAGTGTCAACACAGTGACAAAAGCAAATAGTGCCTTTGTGTTATTTTGACAATACTGCTGATCCAAAGCCCATCAAACAGTCTCAGGGGTACCCCAGGGGACTGAAGACTACACTGAAAATTTTTACACTAAGGCAATGGGTTGAAATCTCAGATCTATCATTTGCCAGCTATGCCACCTTGAGTGAATTATTTAAACTTTAAAATTTAAATATGAGCCTCAGTTTCCTCAACTATAAAACAAAAATAAATAATACTGCCTACTTCATAGGAACATTTAAGAATTTAAAGAGATTAATTCATGATAGCACAAAACCTTACACACATTAACAACTCAATATTAACTATTACTTTCTATTAGAGTTAAACTAAACTATGAAGGTACGTTTTCAGAATAAAAGGCTATAATAGCCTCTCAGCAATTTTCCTAGTTAAGAACTAAGAACATTTAGCCCAGTTTACAATCTGAAATAGTTTGCCATTATTACTAAATATACTTTTATTCATGTTTTAATAGCACAGTTTTCAATACTGTAGCCTATTTAAGCATATTTATCAGATTTAAAAACAGGCTGGGTAGTTTGTTCCTACAATTATTATTTGGGTATTGGTTAAACTATCATAAAGATGGTGACATTTTCTGATGCTGATTATTAATCCACTGAATGATTACCCATGGCAATACAGAATTTTCACTAAGCATTGTTGACACAGATAAATAATACCCAACATATTCCTGAGCTGACTGTGTAGTTTCAGAAACACTTACAGGTTTAGACAAAGGCTGAACAATAACAGAACTATCTGAAGATCTAGATTCAGGATGAAAATTTACTGGCGAGGCAGCCACTGGATTTGATGTTGGGTTCGTGTAATGTTGACTTGTAGGCTTGAATGCAGGAGTAATACCTGTATTTTAAAATTACACAACACATTGAATATATTTCTATATAATCAATGATGTCAAAACACTTCACTTTAAAATAAAAATAGTAAAATACTACTGTACCTCGGCAGAGTGCACCATTCTTTATTCCCCTCGAATATGAGCTGGGGTTTACTCTATTCAAAATATCTATAAAAGATTACATTATTTAAAACTCATTGTTTGAATTATATATATATATAGATAGATAGAAATAGAAATCATACACTAAAAACAACTGAAAAGATTTCTGGAAGGAGTATACAGGTTAACACTGCTTTATGAATACAGTTAATTTTAAACATACATATCTTTATTTACTAAAAATAGTATATTTATTCTTACAGAATAATAATAATATTTCTAACTGTAATTCAAAATCCAAAACCCAGAAGTTAAAGATTGATAAATATGATTCCCATAAGTTAAACCTTCTGCATGGCAAAGAAACAGTTCACATAACTGGCAAAAATATTCCAAAAATATACTCCTATACAACTAAAATTGAAGTATATATCTTGCTTTGAGAGATGAAAGGGCTGTACATACATGCACTCAAGTTCCTATTTACTGAAAATCAAATCCTGTCCAAAACCCATATCCAACTCACACCCTTATAAGCCCTGAAGTATCATTATAAGGGACTCATTGGATTATCTCCACCATTATTCAAGTCCTAAAAGGGAAACTAAAAGAATGCAGACTAAAGTGAACATACAGTTTACCAGAGTATCTTGCAACTTAACGAGCTTTATATTTATCACTATACCAGAAGTCAGTCAGGGCCTAATATGACTTTCAGGATCAGTTTAAAGTTTCTAATTGCATGCATGCATGTGAACTCAATAATATACAGGTTTTTCTATAACCAAACTAAAATTCAGAAGAGTAAGGATTTGCCTAAAATTACTGGGTTAGAAAAAGGTAAAAGGACCAACACCAGACCTCATAAAACAATTTCCTCATTTCCCCTCATAACAGAAAGGAACAAGCCTCCATAAATTAATTCTATAGTGTAAAGGGCCATATAAAAGTAGGGCTTTTTGAAAATGTTTTCTGAAAATGGCAACACAGTGCTCTATACCTAAGTATTAGAGATGTCTTAAAGGAGAACAATCTGCTCAAACAACTTGACACCACTTTCATGCATAAATTCAAGATTAAGTATTTATTCAAACCTTCAAAGGACTATTGCTAAAGTATGTTTTGGTGTTTGTATTCTACAATAAAAAAGTTTTGACCTTCCTTTCTGGCAACATATATAAACATTTAGCTCATACTCCATATGTTAAAATATTTTATGGTTTATACAAAAGCAACAACATAATCATTTAAATTCTCCATCTTAAGAGTACAGAAAAGAAATTCTACTGGGGTCAGTCTCCTTCTGACAATTATTTTAAAATGAACATACATTTTTCTATTTGAATACTGTTAAGAATCATCTAAAAATCAGTATAAATTCAATTTGAATCTTAATTGTCTTGTTTTCAGTAAGATAACTTGAGTAACGATTTTGCAATATGGTAATATTCCCGTATAAAATAATCATAGCAACTAGAAATAGTAATTAAGAGAATATATAGTTATGTTCCACTATCAGCAACAAGCATGCCACCACACCTAGTTCAATTTATAATCAAAGTAGCACTTCATTCAGAACCTCTTTGAGTGATTGTCAATCTTCCACAAAAAATGCTATTCAGAATTCCATCAGTTAAGCTATTCTCCCTCTGATAAAACTGAAAAAAAAAGTGCCATTCCAAGCTTAGAGGCAATAGAAGAAAGAATCAGGCTTTCAGAAAATTTAAAAGCAGTCTCTTTGTTATACTTTTAAGCACTGATTTTGGCAAAAAAAAAAACCAAAAAACACTAGTATGCTGGTTATGAGCTTTGGTAAATTCTCCTGACTTAAGCAAACAAAAAACATGTAAATGCAACGGGAAGGGATCTATTTTCTCTTTCTCCCCTGAAATGTATACATTATTTCTCTGTACTTCCATACATTTTTGAGTGGATGTTTTAACAAGAGCCATTTGTCTTTAACAGTATAACAATGTCAAATCCAATTACTCTTAACTGAAATCATTCACTGTCTATACAAAATGTAGCTACTATAAACGTCACCGCAATGAGGCAGCTGCTTGCATGTGAGAACCCCTATCTAAGACTAACCCAAACATATTTAGTGTATTCTAACATTTTAAGCAAAGTATTCTAAACTCTTCTGTTTCTGGGTTTTAAGTGAGGGGGAAAAAAAAGAAAATGAACAAAAAGATAACAGGTTACTTGGCTCCACTAAAAATCATGATTTCTATTATGAAAAGACTTCCGATGTCACCAGCTTATCTTAGTGTATTTATTTTTCTCACATCTGATAATTTAACTTCTTAGCTCCTTCCTCAACTTCCCAATTTTAAAACTCTAATTCTGAAATTATTACTAATTTCCCACCCAATCTTTCATCCTTAACTCCTTACCAAGGAACAAGGACTTAATTAAATGCATGTAAGAGAGTTCACAAGTTTTTCTATTAGAAATGGTATCTTACAAAACTGGGGTTTACTGAAAGTAAATGCTCACTTGAAATTGCTGGTTTTGAACTTGATATCTCTCCAACAAAGATTGGTTCATCATCATCATCATCATCGACCTCTTTTACTTTCTTCTGCCATGGTTCCAACTCTTCTTCTTCACATTCCATAAAGAGCTCTGCCATTTTTGAATTATCTAATTTTCAAAAGGAGAGAAGCAAACCTTATTTTCAAAAAGAAAAATAAATACATTTTTGTAATACATAGTAGGAGACTTAAGATCTACTTTAATAATTCTAATAGCAATTTCTGAGTTGATATTCACAGTACATGGCAACAACAGTGAGAAATTCAGAGTTCACTCTCTAAGATTTAAACTAGTAAAATTTAGATAAAGAGATGATTGATAGATAATGGTTGATAGTAGTTATTTACAGCGGACAGAACATTTGGGAGCAAAGTCAGTTTCAGTCATATACCTGGAATATGATTATATCTATGAAAAAGATTGCAGTGAATCATTATCTGGAAAAAATGTGCTAACAAATGAGAGACAAAGTAAGAATAAGAGGCAACAGACGGGAGAGAGAACAGAAAAACTGAACCCAATTCAGGTATGCCAGGTACACAGCAAAGAAGGGATGGATGCTAGGCTAAAATAAAAGAACAAAGTGAGACTCCAATCAGGGAAAATTACACATTTCTTGCTAAAGAAACAGACCAAAGAACATACAGTAAAATATCACCATCCTAGAAGTTCTGACCAAGCACAGAAGCATTTTAGTGCCTTGGTGTTAAATATACAACCAATAAGCACCAGAAATTTTAGGAAAACCTCTTGTCTGTCAGACCAAAGTCAATAAAACAGAGAAAGAACCCTTACAAAAAGCAAGACAAATATTAGAGAAAATGTAGATAGCATCTTTAGAGATATGAGACAAAAAAAGGATTTATAAAAAGTAATGACCAGAAAACAAAATAGGATTTAAAATACAATAGCCAAAATTTTTTCATTCACTTTAAAAAAAAAAATGTCCTCAGAACTGAGAAAAAAAATTTATACACACACACACACACACACACACATAAACAAAACAGAAAATACAAGGTTGTTAGAAAATCAATTTAAAGGTACAACACTTAAATTTACAGAAAGAGAATAGAGAGAAAGCAGGGGGTAAGTTATCAAAGAAACAATGCAAGAAAATGTCCAAGATCAGAAGACACTAATCTCTGAGCTGAAAGATCCCACTAATGCGCAATAGAACAACCAAGAAAAAAGTTATACCAGGACATATCACTGCCAAATTTCAGAACAAAAAAGATAAAGAGAATATCTTCAGGGGTTGGGAATTAGGGAACAGAAACAGGTAATATACAAAAGATTAAGAGTAATAAGAACAGAAACTAGAAACAGTAAAACAATTCTTTTAAAATTCTTACCTAAATTATATTTCAATTTAGAAAATCCAAACTTTTCATTTAAGTGTAAGAGTAAAAACCAGCAACATCACACAAAATTTACTTCCCAGGCACTCTTTCTCCTGAAGCTACTACAGAATCCACCAAAACAAGAGACTCATCAGTCAAGAAAGAGGAAGACACAGAATGTAGAAAACATGGCATTCAACGCAGTACAAAGTCCCAGGACAACAGAAGTTCGGTATGCCTAAAGAACAGCCAGGCTAGACTAACTCCTGAGAACAGTACCCTCAGGAGGAACATCTCTAGGAGGCCAAAGAAAGGATGATTAAAATATAAATTTTTAGATTACCTAACAGATTTTAACATATAGAAAATTGAACTGAGAGGTTCTTGAGGGTGTGAGAAGATTTAGCTATAGACATTAATAAAAGTTAGCAAATTAAAAAACATGAAAAGTATTAATTGCTGGGTAAACAAACAAGTAAAAAATGTATCCCCTCACATGCTATTCTATATATAATAGTGTATTAATAGCATAGTACCATGCTCGTCAGTAAATAGTGTTTATATGGTCATCATAGTGAAAATATCAAATACAGATTTAACCAAAAAATGAGATGGTTATATTGGGAGACACTTAGAGGGAAGGAAGGGATAGCAGTAAAAAGCAAAAACCCTCATGAAAGAATAACACCAGAAAATGGTTAAATCTGACTCTGCAACGGACAGCACAAATATATATATGCACATAAGCACTTTTTTAAGAAACTGAGGCTAAACTACATGGTATTTTTAAGTTGTTTGCTTTATTTAAAACTATGTGTATACTTTAAGCTGAGATGAAGGAGAAACAGGAAGAGTAAGAGTAGCAAAGGAGGGAAAAAAAGAGATGCAGTATTAAAGTTCTAAGCTAAAGTAACAGCAATTGAATGGGTACAAGTGATATATAAAGAGGGTATATATATATATATGTGTGTGTGTGTGTACACACACACACACACATATATATATATGTGTGTGTGTGTACACACACACACACACACAAGGGCCAACTCATAGGAGAAGACCCTGACACGGGGAAAGACTGAGGGCAGAAGAGGGCGACAGAAGATGAGATGGCTGGATGACATCATCGACACAAAGGGACGAGTTGAGCAAACTCAGGGAGATAGTGAAGGACAGGGAAGCTTGGCGTGCTGCAGTCCATGGGGTTGCAAAGAGTTGAACATGACTGAGCGACTGAACAACAAAATGTCTGTCTGTCTGTATAGGAGAGGCTGCTGCTGCTAAGTCGTTTCAGTCGTGTCCAACTCTGTGTGACCCCATAGACGGCAGCCCACCAGACTCCTCCATCCCTGGGATTCTCCAGGCAAGAACACTGGAGTGGGTTGCCATTTCCTTCCCCAATGCATGAAAGTGAAAAGTAAAAGTGAAGTCGCTCAGTCGTGTCCGACTCTTACAGACCCCGTGGACTGCAGCCTACCAGGCTCCTCCATCCATGGGATTTCCCAGGCAAGAATACTGGAGTGGGGGTATAGGACAGGGGGAGACCTCAAAAGGAAAAAATCTACAGGGTTCAAAGGTTCTGGCTTAGACAATGATATCATCATGAGTTAAAGGTGGTCACTTCTAAAGGTCATTTTTTATTATAATAAAGCAATGCCATTTCTCTTCTGACTCAAAGTTAAGACAATGTTCTACCACAGTCTTAAAAGATAGTGCTAATTGAAACAGTACTTTGGAGATGTCATATACAGGAAATACCTTATTAAAGTAGGTGCCATTCTTTTACAATTTTAAAAGAATTTTCCCTTCTATAAATGTACCTTACAAATCATTTCCTGGCCTAACATTATTTAAATGTTTAGTAGTCCACCTACCAAAAATAAATAAATAAATAAGGCCTTCTCATTTTTCCAAATGTCATGAATATCATGAAATGATCCCTTTCTTTTCTAAACTATACTGTTTTACTAGTTATATAGAATTCTTCAAGTCAAATGATTAAAAATATTACTACATGTTTAAGGCAAAATGAGTTCCTTGACAGTATATTTTGCTCTACATATAAGATAGGCAGTACAGACATATATAATAATCTAAAACCAGGAAAGTAGGTGAAGTCAAGCAATGCCTAATTTTAAAAGATTAGGGAAATTCACTGTATACTAATATTAAAAATATCATATATTTCCAGTTGGTGTATGTTATGAGCTAAACTGTGTTTCTCCAAAATTCATATTCTGAAGTCCTCACTATCAGTACCTCACAATGCATACATATTTGGAGGCAGAATCTTTAAAGAAGTAAGTTAAAGTGAGATTATGACAGTGGGCACTAATACATTATGATCACTGTCCATAAGAGAAGAGCAGACGAGGACACATATACATGTACAGAGATAAGACCATTTGAAGACACAGGAAGCAGATGACCATCTATAAGCCAAGGAGAGAGGCCTGAAATAGATCCTTTCTTCAAGTCTCTCAAAAATACCTAGATCTTAGATGTTTAGCCTCCAGAATTATGAGAAAATAAGTTTGTTAAGTCATCTACTCTATAATACTTTGCTATGGCAGACCTATCAAACTCATGCAGAAGGCAAGAGTCTCCCACCTCACTCTTTAGCAGGGCACTGCCACTGTCAATATATTCAAGATATATTGTTGAGAAATAATTGTTGAAGATACATGACAGCTTTAAAATATTTTTAGAAATAATTAGTTTTTTTCTATGCATAAAAGAAACGTAAGAAAGCCTTCCTAAGCAATCAATGCAAAGAAACAGAGGAAAACAAAAGAATTGGAAAGACTAGAGATCTCTTCAAGAAAATTAGAAATACCAAGGGAATATTTCATGCAAAGATGGAAACAATAAAAGACAGAAATGATAAGGACCTAACAGAAACAGAAGATATTAAAAAGACATGGCAAGAATACACAGAAGAACTATATAAAAAAACAGGTCTTAATGACCTAGATAACCACGATGGTGAGATCACTCACTTAGAGCCAGACATCCTAGAGTGCGAAGTCAAGCGGGCCTTAGAAAGCATCACAACGAACAAAGCTAGTGGAGGTCATGGAATTACAGCTGAGTTATTTCAAATTCTAAAAGTTGACGCTGTTAAAGTGCCGCACTCAATACGTCAACAAATGTGGAAAACTCAGCAATGGCCACAGGACTGGAAAGGTCAGTTTTCATTCCCATCCCAAAGAAAGGCAATGCCAAAGAATGCTCGAACTACCTACCACACAACTGCACTCATCTCACACGCTAGCAAAGTAATACTCAAAATTCTCCAAGCCAGGCTTCAACAGTACGTGAACCAAGAACTTCCAGATGTTCAAGCTGGATTTAGAAAAGGCCCAGGAACCAGAGATCAAATTGTCAACATCTGCTGGATCATCAAATAAGCAAGAGAATTCCAGAAAAATACCTACGTCTACTTCATTGACTACACTAAAGACTTTGACTGTGTGGATCAAACAAACTGTGGAAAATTCTTCAAGAGATAGGAATGCCAGACCACCTTACCTGCCTCCTGAGACATCTGTATGCAGGTCAGGAAGCAACAGTTAAAACCAGACATGGAATAACATTTTCCTGCATTTTATTCAATAATTTCCAAGTTATTTGGATTGAATTAGACACCACGAATAAAATTATTATTTTAATTTCCGAAGCTATTGCTATTAAATGTTTATAATAGAAGAACAAGAGACTCTAGTGAATATTTATATAATATTAAATATGAACTAGTATCAACTA